GTAAAGGTACTGATGCGGTTCGAAGATGTCGTTGTTTAGAAGTTAGAAAGAAGCCCGGGAAGAAGTTGGCGAAGAAAATTACAAACGGAAAACTTCATCCACGGCTCCGGCCGATAACTTGGGCGAAGGGCCATTCATTCTTGTCGAGACTTTTACGAGAGTTTTAAAGATCATAATCTTCCCTAGTCCCGTAAGAAGGACTGCTAACAGATCACCACCTAAAGTTAGTTGCTTCACGGCGTCTTTCAGTTGAGGTTTAAGTTCGCTTCGTCACGGACTTTTTTTAGCACGCTTTCGAACACTTCTTGTTTTGATGTCTTATAAGTCAGTCACGGGGTCACACAATCCTAGTTGGTATGCTCAGCCAATCAGCAASMCMRTYMGCTCACGAACGTTGTATTTCAAACAAACAATAGCCTCTTGCAGGCGTTCCCTTCCGCTCCTCTCCTCCCCATTCTCTCTCGGCCCCCCAGCAGGAACGCCTGTTAGCAGGCTACGTGAACGTTGAATGAGGTGACAGCAAAAAAAGTTCGTGATTCAAGATTCAACAAACTGTTTCATACAGCATCAGAAAAGTAAATTGCAGACATCTTTAATTACATGTGAAATAAATGTTTGTAGCAATATTACAGAGCGCTAGACAGATAGTCGCCAATTGTTGATACACAGATAAGCGCTTGGTACTGACTTTTTAACCAAGCGTAAGTGCTTTTTTACAGTAATACCACTTGTTAGATTCGGAGCCAGGTAGCACCGCTCGGAACGGGTCTCATGATAGGTTGAGAAAACAATGGACAAACAATAGATAAGTCTTCCAACAATATAACAAAAACCTAACCTAACAATAGTGGTGCTGTACTTAAGGAGCAATCAAAAAGCAGGTTTCAATTGGTACTGCATTACTGTAGATTCGCGAGTCTACAAGTACTCATTCTTGCGAGTGACTGATTGCATTTATGAATATTCCTATTTGCATCACTCGCGAGCGAGAATAGTCACTCGTGGCTCGCACTCGTGAGTGTATGGTACTTTACTCACGGCCGGTACTGTACATCATGGCAGCACAAGATAAAAGGTTCTTCTTGGAATACATTCGAGAAATATTGAAAATTTCGTTGTTTTCATTGATATAAAGTAACAATTTTCACAAGATGAGGACGACAACGAAAACATTCGGACCCAATCTCCGCGCGGTCAAACTTCGTCATCGTTTTTGTCTT